TCAGTGGGCAAGGCCAGCAGTAGACCTTTACAGTTTTACCCAGCTGGTATAATAACTCTCCAGCCCTGTGTCATAACTTAGAAGGGTTCTTGATCATCTGTCTCTTCCACAAAGTATCACACTGGTGCACTATATTGATGACATTATGCTGATTGGATCAAGTAAGCAGGAAATAGCAACCACTTTGAACTCATGGGTAACTCATAACACATCAAAGGATGGGAAATAAATACAACCAAGGTTCCAGGAGCTTCTACCTTAGTGAAGTTCTTAGGAGTCCAATATTGTGGAGCATGCAGACATCTTTCTTCTAAGGTGAAGGATAAGTTCTTACACCTGGCCCCTCCTATCACTTTAAAAGAAGTACAATGTTTAGTGAGCCCGTTTAGATTTTGGAGAAGTATATTTTCCACTTGGCTTTGTTACTATGGTCCATATAATAAGTGACTCAGAAAGTTGGATCTTTGTGTGGGGCCTGGAACAAGAGAAGGCTCTTCAATAGGTCCAACCTGCTCTAACACTTGGACCATATTAACCAGCACTTGAAGTGTCAGTAGCAGATAGGGATGCTGTTTGAAGCCTTTGGCAGGTCTGTCTAGGTGAATCACAGAAAAGGCCTTTTGGATTTTGGAGCAAGGCTCTACCATCATCTGCAAACTATCCTCCCATTGAAAGACAGCTCTTGGCCTGCAATTTGGCTTTTGTGGAAGCTGAACATTTGACAGTGGGCCACCAAGGTACCATGTGGTCTGAACTTCCCATCATGAGCAGGGTTTTTATTGAATCTACAAAGTCATAAAGTAGAATGCGCAGAGCAGCAATCTATTATCAAATGGAAGTGATATACATGCAATCAGGACCAAGCATGTCCTAAAGGCACCAGCAAGTTACATGAAGAAGTTGCTCAAATGCCCATGATTTCTACTCCTGTTTCAATGCCATCTGCTGGCAGTTTCATTAATTGGTTGACTGAGGAAAAGAAGACTAGGGCCTGGTTTACTGATGGTTCTGCATGTTATGAAAGCACTACTTGGAAATGGACAGCTGCAGCATTACAACCCCCTTCTGGGACCATACTGAAAGATACTGGTATAGAGAAATTTTCACAGTGGGCAGAACTTCATATTCCTAATAATTTTGACTAACAGTATATAATTAATTAGTCCATTTAAATATCTTCAAAGCTGTGCCTAGAAAGACTGATGACTTGCTCAGTTGTTAAAAGTGCTTGCTATTCTTGCAGACAACCTGAGTTTGGTTACCAGAACGAAAATCGGTTGGCTATAACTCCAGCCCTAGGGTATCAATCTCCTTCCTCTGAACTCTGCAGACACTATACTTACATGCACAGACATAAATGCACACACAAACACACACATAAACATACAAATAAAAGCAAATAAAATATCTTAAAAAGATCAACAGCATAATAAACCACTAAGCTGATTTGAGTACTGATGGATTAACCCCAATTAGATACCCTAACTTTTAAATAATGGCTAAAATTAGACTCCTAAAAAAATGTGTAAGTTGCTGAAATGAGACTCATGTAGAGTGAAATATTGAGGCATATCCAAACCTGTCTTCAAACTTTTCCAAACTTGGAAACACTTATTTTAGGATATTTAAAAAATGATGACTTGTTCAAAGCTGTGAGCACCTGCAAAGCAGTTTCTCTCTAGTTCATCCTGTGTTGCTCATGCTGCATTTCAAAAGGGTAAGGGAGGGAGGTGAGGCTGCATCAGCTATTTTTCTACAGCCATGTGGGAGACAGTAAAGCTGGTGTTAGTCTCTGAAACAGACAGCAACTTCGCTTCATGGTAGGGATTTTAGTTTATCTGATGCAAGACTAGAGCTAGGATGTTAGGAGATGCAAATCACTTTGTGGTGGGCAGGCCTCCTATAAAGTAGGAATCATCTCTTAGGATTTGCCTCTAAGAAAAGATACAACAATTTTGGAGTAGCAATTTGGAATTTATCCATCTGCTGATTAGTGGGAATCATATAGAGACAGTGAGATATGTTAGATTGATAGATAAATACATTAACTGCCTAAATAATACACAGGAAAAGACATGAGGAAAACAAGGTGCACATACACAAGATTTGCTTTTCTTTTTGCAGTTCTGGGGATATAGTGCGGGGCTTATGCTTGCCAGGAAAGTATTCTATTGATGCACTACCATTCCAGCTAGAAACCCAATTCATTTAGGCTTGGGGAAAGAGAGATGCCTCCGACCTTACGTGTGCTTATTGTTTTACCATAAGTCCTGTACTTGGCTTCCTAGCTCTCACTGCAGATGGCTCACAAGTGCCTATAATCCCAGCTCCAGGGATTCAGCACCCCTTCCTGGCCTCTGCAAGGACCTGAACACATAGGTGTGCATACGCATACACAGACTCACACATGCACACATAAATGAAATAATAATAAAAGAAATTTAAATTTTATTTAGTTATATGTGTAGAAACCTGAAAATGACATTTAAATTTTTTCTTTGCGTGATAAAAGTAATTTATATAATAGTAGATATACACCTAATAGTATACCTTATTTAATTAGGTAAAGCATATTTTTTCTGCAGTGAAAATTAAGGTTTTTCTGAAGCAATGCACACATACAATACTATGCCCCAGTGAATATGGCAGAAAAGAGTTGTTTGTATTTGGTTTCCTCCTGAGAACTAAAATTGTATGTGGAATAAAATAGTGTGTGGGAAGTGCTTCATGTTTGCGGTAACTGTTATTAGGTTAATGACACCTTAGAAATGTCTTTGAGAACTCTGCTTTTGGTATGGCTATATGCTGAATTATGGTGGTTTCTTTTCACTTCTTTTAAAATTACTGTAGTAGAAAACTCCCAAACTTCAAATCAGGGTTGTTTGAAGGTAGGATGAGAATAATTAGTAAGTGAATAGAATTCCTACTGTGTTTGGCATTATTTATTAAACCCATGCAGGGAATCAAGATAACATGATATGCAGAACTCATTACTATTCTGTATAGGCCTCAGCCAGGAAGGTGTGCCTGCTACACAATCCTGAATTTGGATCCCAGCCGCTATGTGAAAAGCTAGGTATGGCAGTATGTGCCTATAATCCTAGACAGACAATGTTTTCCCAGAGCCATCTAGCCCAGTCAGTGAGCTTCCAGGGTGAGGCTCTGTCTCAGAAAATAAGGTAGAGGTCAACATAGGAGGTCACCTGATATTGCCCTCTAATCTCCACATGCATGTGTACACACGTGGGCATACACATGCACACACAGATACATATAGACACAGAGACACACAGATGCACATGCAAACATTATCAGCAGCAGCAGCACCATCATCATCACCACCACAACCATCATCATCATCATCATCATCATCATCATCATCATCATCATCATCACCATCACTGTCATCATCCCTCTTTGGCTAGGTCTGATCCACCCACTTGAAATCTCTAGGTTTTAGCCAGACACTGTGTGAGCGCATTTCTGATCCAGAGTACTCATCCTCCATTCAGTCCCTGAATGAAGAAGCAATCCTTACTTCTAAATCCCCAATGTCACTGTGTCATTTGTCACCAACAACCTCAGGTGACTGATTGCCACTCTGTCCCTTCCTTCCATTTTGTACATACGCTTCATGAGTGGTATGGGTGAGTCTCCATGAGTCTCCACGAGCTATATTTCTGTGTGCACATTCTTCTTAACCCTGCAATATGTAGTGTTCTTAGCCATGATGTCCTTGTCTGTTTTTGATATTGTTCCACTTGTGAAATGAGCTAGAAAAATATTGCTTCTTTGGTTTTTTGTTTTGTTTTGTTTTTGTATTTTGGTAGGAATTATGGAGAATTTATTGGTTGGTTAAACATTTGATGCATTTCAGCAGTGAAGTCATGAGGTTCTGCGCTTTTCCTTGATGGAAAATGTATTTATTCTTGGTATCTATCCCTGGTTATTAAAGTTTTATACTCCTTCATGGTTCAGTACTGGCAGGTATTTGCATTTCCTCTAAGCTAGAGAATTTCTTGGCATACTATTGTCAGTAACATCCAATGATTCTTGGTAATATCCAAGCTGTGGGTTATGTTTCCTATTTCAGATCACATTTTATTTCTGTTCTTTCTCTTTCTTTGAGTTGGCTATTAGTTTGTCAGTTTTGTCTTTAAAGAACCATTTTCATCTTGTTGATCCACATCAGCTTTTGGGGTTCAATCTCAAGTCCTTATGCTTAGAAGTAAGTGCTTTTACCTAGCTCCTTAACCTGTATTTATATCACCTACTCAGGATCATCCAACTTTCCCAATCTTACCTATTGAAAACATTCTCTTCTAGATTTACAATTATTTATTCTGTATATATAACTGTATTGTTACACATAATCACGTATATCATATTCACATATTTTCTTGACCTTTAGTACCCTTTTCTTGCTAATTCTAGGCTGAGTTTGGTTTAGTTGTTAAAGTTTCATGAAATGCATTTATAGGTTGTTCACTTGAGGTCTTTTTGAATTTTAGATGTAGACATTCAATGCTATCAACAGCTCTCTGTATAGCTTTTACTCTGTTCCATGGGTTTTTATTGTGAAACTGAGAGGAAGTATTGCTTGAGTTCAATGGTGCCTGGTAGATAGTGAGAGAAAGGCTGCCTGACTTTCTCAAACCAACAAAGATAAAGACACACCACATTTTGATGGATTAAACATGCAATTTCAGGAAGCTGTGTAACTCAGCATCTGCAGTGTCTCATAATTCTTGCCAGACCCATGTAATATCTCTTCTTCCAATCTGACAGATATAGGTTTTACTATAAATAATAACAAAAAAGTTTGGGGAAATTTGAGAGAATCGGTATCTTAATGGCTCTATATTGAGCACTGTAAAATGCCATTTTAATGTTTTACGTGTTTTTACATGGCTTTGCTATTTACATTTTGTAATGTAGCAGCTGATTATTTTTATGATTGAATTGATAACATTTCCATTTAAACACCTTTTTGAATGTAGCAAGATCAGCTTTACACCTGGGCTGCTGTTAGTCAACCCACGCATTCGATGGATTACAGCGAAGGGCAGTTTCCCAGAAGAGAACCATCCACGTGGCCACCATCCAGGCTTCCTGACGAAGAGCCCAGTCCCAAGGATGTTGACACAGGTAGGATAGGGGGCAGCAAGCCTCACAAGATCATGTGATGTACTATGTAATTGCCACATTTGCCTGTTAGTGAGTCTCTGGTCCATCTATCATGCAGATGAGAGCTAGCTAGCTAGCTATCTAGCTAGCTAGCTAGATAGCTAGATAGATAGCTAGATAGCTAGATAGCTAGATAGCTAGATAGCTAGATAGCTAGATAGATAGATAGATAGATAGATAGATAGATAGATAGATAGATAG